GGGATTGTACCGTCAATCTTCTGAGGAAGTTAGAAGAGCAATCTAGTAGGAAGGCAAAAAAAATAAATAAATATTGATGTAATATTAGTAGTAAAGTGGTCTAGGAAGAAAAATAAAGCAGGGTGAGGTGAAGAGCTGGGGCACAGCTCTGTCTGAGCCTGGTGGTCCAAGGTGGGGTATATGGAGTGTTTAACACTGAAATAGGTTCAATGAAAAGCTGATAGTATTTAACTTGACCTTTTTGTGTCTATTTATAGAAACTGCCTCTGAGGCATTTATAGAAAATGCCTCTGAGTCTTATCTACTGTTCCCTGGGTAATCAGACTGGATTAAAAAAAACAACAACAACAACAATAACAACAAAAACAAAAAAACCAGGAAGTTCCCATAGGATAGATATATAAATGAGGAAGAATCTTTTTTTATTTGATAAGAAAATATTGAGTCCTACCCTATATGTATGTCTGGGGACATTAAATCAGATAGGACCTAATTCCCTCTCCTATAAGTCTAGTAGGTTAAGATGAACACATCTCCCAGCAGAACATGCACATGGGTCGGACACAAGGGCTAGCCGCGAGAATCTCCAAGAATATTAATCACTGCCCTTTGGAGCCACACATACTATTCCACCCCTTCTCCCTGCTGTGGAGAGGATGCCTGCTGCATCAGCCATCTGTCCCACATAGCCAACTTGCTAATTGTGCATCAGCAACCATCAGGAGGGAGGAGATGCTTACACCAGTGACAAGGAATGACATCTGATTGTGACATTTTCCCCAGCTAGGTTCTGTCTAAAAACCTGGCCTAGATTCTCCTTTGTTGTCAAGCACTGAGTCTCATGGGAAGAGCTGTTAATCTGGGTGCCCCACTGCCTATACCCCTTTAAGGGATGCCACCAGTTAGCTATCAAACCTCTGCCCCATTTCCATTCTATTCGAAAGATACACTGTTTGAACTTTGAAGAAGAGTCAAAGAATTGAAAGTACAGACTGTCAGGGGTAGAAACAGCCCTTGGTGGGATGCCTAGGTGGCTTAGTGGTTGAACATCTGCCTCTGGCTCAGGGTCCTGGGATGGAGTTCCGCATCAGGCTCCCCGCAGGGAGCCTGCTTCTCCATCTGCCTTTCATTAGCTATACATTCATATACAACATATGTATAATGTATTTTAAGATTAAAAATTTATATGTATTTTACTGTATATTTATTTCTTAAATTTGGAAATCTTATAAGGTCTATCTACATGTATTAGCCTCTCTGTGAATAATTTGGCATAGATATTTTCCTGAGAGAAAACATTATTAAAAACTACCTTAGGGCAGCCCAGGTGGCTTAGCAGTTTAGCTCTGCCTTCAGCCCAGGGTGTGATCCTGGAGACCAGGATCAAGTCCCACATCGGGCTCCCTGGAGGGAGCCTGTTTCTCCCTCTGCCTGTGTCTCTGCCTCTCTCTCTCTCTCTCTCTCTCTCTCTCTCTCTCTCTCTCTCTCCTCTCTGTGTTTCTCATGAATAAATAAATAAAATCTTAAAAAGAAAAACAAACTATCCTATACAGAGAAGTGGGTTTAGGATTTGACTCAGTAGATTTTTCTATTCCAGAAAAACTGGGAAAACAAACTCATGCAAGAGCCCAGGAGGGCAGCACCTTAGGACATCCAAGGATACTGTTCTCCATTTCCCAGGTGTTTGTTTCCATGTTCTGGACTTACCATTCTCTTTAAATAATTCCCAATAAATCCTCTATAAGTAGTGTAGAGGGACTACGAGTCAGGAAATCTGGATTATTTTACATGGAAAATGATACATCAAGATTTTTATAACTGTAAAAAACGAAACACAGTAGAACTTTTGATTAGCTTTAATTTCAGGAAAATGTCCTGAAACTGAATATTTTGTGATTTTCTAACCCATCATTTTTAGAAATGAGAGTGCCAGCGCTGTGAGCAGACCACCTGGTGCTGGCACTTTTGAAGGGACCCTTACTCACAAAGCAGCCCAAGTTGTGATATGATAGTTGGACAAGCTAGAATCAGAGCCCTGCAGCTACACAGGGCAGGCAAGGAAGGAACCAGGTAAATTAATGCCCAGTAGGGCAGTTGTCTTAGATTGTCCTTTAAATGCTCTACAAAAATGAACTTATTTTTGCAGAGAAAAATAATCTTTAATAGACACAAATAATATAGCATCTATCACCTGCCTCCTTGAAACCTTACAACAGCTCCCTTTGGCTGAGTAGTATCTCCAGCAACACCATACCTCAACAATGGTCGCAGCACCCATCAGGCACTCATGCCCTTCGGTCTCACTGTGAACTCTCTCCATTCAGCAGCTCACTCCCATCAGGCCCTGGTCTCTCACAAAGTCCCTGGCTGTGCTCCTGCCTCTGCCTGGAGAAGCCTTCCCTTGCTGCTCTGTAATTAACTCCTACTCAACCTTGAGATTGATCTGTACTTTCTCAGAGAAGGCATTTCTGATCTCCCTGACCAGGTAAAATGGGTATACTACAGGATGTCAGGGCACCCAGCACTCTTCATAGCAGTGCACCTTTACATTTATTTATTGGGTTTTTCATTGTTTATTCTCCCTCTCTGCTGTAAACTCCAACACTGCATGGAGTGTTGCATGCAGTGTTGGAGTTTGTTCACCTGGAACAAAACAGGTGTTCAGTAACTATTTATTAGATGAACGAATGAAAATCAGACACAAGAGTTACTTCTAGGCCTTTCATACTGGCCACGCTCATGAAGCATTCTCAGGTCTTGGCCACTGGCTTCTCAGTCTCCTGAGGTCTGTGTAAGGGGAGGGCAGTCTGGCACCACATGTTGGGGTTCACTGGGAGGCACTCCTAGGTGCACAACTGGGGTGCTTTGAAAGCCTGGATCCCATTGGCTGCTTCTCCTCACATAGTCTTTCCTACATAAACACCTGGCACACACGCAGGGCTTTTTTCCAAAGCTTCTGTAGTTACAGAAGGATATTTCTGTTCTGCTCCACCTTACACCTCCAAACTGCTCTGTGAGGGTCAGGGACTTTGATTTATTTGCTTTCAACATGATGTTAACTTGCTGGTATCTAGGTGGTAGTTATACAGATGTGTTTGTTGAAGGATAAACTTACAATTCGTGTACTTTTCTGCGTGTTATATTTCAATATAAAACTTTTTAAAATATTTACACAGACTTCAACAGCAACTCGTATAATAATGAGAAACAGAGTGAGACAGAAACCAAAATAAATATAGGAGAGAAAAAGAAAGAGAAAGTGAAATATATATCATAAAGGGCGATAAAGGGATGGTTAAATAAATCACTAGCCATATAACAGAAAGGTCAGAAAGCAAACTATTTTAGAAGTATGTTATGAGTTATGGAATGGATTCCGTACAATGCTTTCTGACACATCAGTGCTGGGCTGGGCTTTTAGGATGCCATTCATTCTCTGTATGCATGGGGCCACGAGAGCTAGACAAAGATCTAATTCAAACTCAGTATGGCCATCCTGGAAAGAGTGTAGAATTTGAAGTCAAAAAATAACTTCATTTTTATCTATAAATGTCATGCAGTTGACCCTTGAACAACATGGATTTGAATGGTACAGGTCCAATTATATGTGGGGTTTTTTTCAGTAAGAACAGTATTATAAGTGTATTTTCTCTCTCTTAACGATTTTCTTAATATCACTTTCTTATCTTTATCTCACTTTATTATAAGAATATAGTATAGAATACACATAACATACAAAATATGTGTTAATTAATTATTTATGTTATCAGTAAGACTTCTGGTCAACAGTAGGCTATTGGTAGTTACCTTTCTGGGGAGTCAAAAGTGTGAATTTTAGACTGTGGGGAGGATCGGCACCCCTAACCTCCACATTGTTCAAACATCAAGTGTAATATTCAAATGTTTAGATGCTCGTGCTACTTACCCAATTTTTAATTAATACATATAAAAGCATTGTATGCCCACATTCATTGCTGAAGGAGCAGCATATAGACTTCCAACATTGCAGGAGCCACTTGGTGGTGAGATCATGGTGCGCAGCTGACTATGCTGCAGTGGGTTTGGTTGGAGGGATGGAATGTGATTTGGGGGAACCACAGGTGACTTAGATGTTCAAAGGCAGCATAGTAGCCCACATGACTCCCTGCAAGTGTTCCAGGGCAACCTGAAAGAGGTTGCTTAGAAACAAACCCAAGGTGGGGGAGGGGTGTAAAAAAATAAAAAGAAGAAACAAACCCAAGGTCCCCAGTTCTTGTTAGAATGTTCATTTACATATTCCACAAACATGCTGCCTCCTCTGCTCATGCACCAGGGCTTGTGGGGCTGCTTTGAACAGCATGTACGCCTTACCTCTCTTTTTTTGACTGTGTGGGTTTACAGTCTTTAGTTATAAAAAATCCACCCCAAACCCCGGAGGTTAGCAAAGAAATGCAAGCAAATGAGGAAGGGTGTCTGGCCCAGACCCAAATGTTTATGCCAAGAGGCTTGCCTTCCTCTTGGCAACGTCTCCCTCTCCCTGGCTGACATGGGGAATTTCTACCTGCCTCAGGGGAGTCCTCACCATTTCCTTCAGGTCTTTACTCTGGGGCTTCAGGAGGGCAAATTCACCAGATGAGAAGATGGAACCCGCAGAGCCACTCCCACAGAAGCAGGGGTATCATCATGAGGCTCCTGAACAGATCTGATTTCACAGACCCTTCAATATCCAGGAAGCTGAACTCTGAGTTCACTTACAGCAATCATACTACCATGTGGGCCTCACACTCATCAGAGGGCAGGAAAGACACATCTTCTGACCCCAAAGTCTCCAACTAAGTTGCAGGGATAGGTTTATTAGTGGCATTCTAGAGTGCTCAGGGATCCCAAGCCGGGATCGTACCAGCTTGGTCTGCTTGTTCATGTCCATGCAGACCTTTCCCCTTGTTGTGAAGCAAGAGGAAAAGAGGAAGAATTTCTGATAGAAAAGGGTAAATATGGACCAAATAGACAGGACATCACTATGAATTGCATTCAGAGCTTTATTCTTGCCAAAGTGTGGGGGGCACACCAATTCTGGCAGGCTGCCTTGATAAAGAAGCAAAGTACACAGTGAAGCAATGAGAGTCTACATCACTGGGAATACAGGGAGGGGGCCAGAGGCTGGTGAATGTTCCAAAAGATATAGCAGGTCAGTTCTGTACTTAACAGCAGCAGTCATCCTCACAATCACAGCATGCAGGACCTCGGGACCTCATGGGGATAATTCCCAAACAGCAGCACCCAGAGCCGCAGCACCCAGTGCTGCAGCATCCAGAGCTGCAGCACCCAGAATCTTCACAGCAGCCAGATGATCCTGAGTTGCAGTCCTGGGGCCGTTGGATCCAACGTCTCAGGGGACTCACCCCAAAGGTCCGGGGAGCCAGGCAGCAGTAGCTGGTGGAACAGGGTGCAGAGCATGGATCAGGGGCACAGCATGAGGTGGTCGAGCCACTTGCAGGAGCCTGAGCATAGTAGGTCTGGCCGGGAGAAGGTCCCTGGACATAGCATGTCTGGGTCTGGCAAGGGGCTGGGTACTTCACGTAAGTCATCTGGCACGGAGCTGGGTACTTCATGTATGTCTGACAAGGAGCTGGGCATTTCATGTAGGTTGTCTGGGATGGAGCTGGGCACTTCACGTATGTCTGGCAAGGAGCTGCATATTTCACATAGGTCTGAGTCTGGCATGGCATTTGACATTTCACGTAGGTTTGAGCTGGGCGGGTGGAGCTGGGCATTTCACGTAGGTTTGAGCTGGGCGTGGAGCTGGGCATTTCACACAAGTTTGAGTCTGGGATGGAGCTGGGCATTTCACAGGGGTACATTTGGTACTCTGCTCACCTCCCAATCCCAAACCTTTCACACAAGATGGAGGGAACTGTGGCTGCTTCTGCTGGTCACACATCTTTCTGTGGCTTTGTAAAATCTGAAAAGAAAGGTCTCATCAGAAAAAAAGAAAAGGAAAAAAGAAAAGAAAAGAAGAAAAGAAAAGAAAGGAAAAAAAGAACGAAAAGAAAAGAAAAAAGAAAGAAAAGAAATAAAAGAAAAGAAAAAAGAAAAGAAGAAAAAAAGAAAAGAAAAGAAAGAAAAGAAAGAAAAGAAAAGAAAAGAAAAGAAAAGAAAAGAAAAGAAAAGAAAAGAAAAGAAAAGAAAAGAAAAGAAAAGAAAAGGTCTCATCAGGACTAGGAAGTTTTCCAGGGAAACCCCCAGCACCTCTTTTAAATAGAATGATCTGTAAACTGGAGCCTTTTTGAGAAGGTCACAGGCACTCAGACCTGACATAGGGTAGACTCAGAGCCAGGGATCTTGCTTGGCTCTTGTGCCTGCGCCTGGCTGTATGTCTCAGTTTCCACAGTGGAAAATGAGGGGCTAGAAAGAATGATATCTGTTTCTACCCAATTCTCCAAGCCTCCTCTCTTCTTACTTTGGTGCCTAGTTGCAGATTCTCCTTGAGAAATTGTTTTCCAGCTGATATCCCTCACTGCTCATTTTCTCAAGATCAGCTTCCCTATTTCCTCCTGCCAGACCAGGCAGTACCCAGGGAAGGCAAGTTCTTGTCAGTGAATCCTGGGCCAATGTGTGTCTCAAGCTGAGCCACACAGAGCATGACAGGTCCGCAGTTTGAGTGAGTTTCCACCATTTGCTCTTCAGGTGAGCTAGATTATCACTTCACCCCATAAATAGACTCATGAAAGAAATGCAGTCTAGGGAAGAGAGGACAGCAGTTCTCTGAAGAGCCCTTCTCACACAAGGCCAACAGCTCCACACTCTGCCTCTCCCCTTCAGGCTCCAGCTCTGCTCCACTCCTTCAGCGGCCACTCTCATGTGTAGGCCTGACCACCCTCATCCCATCCCAGTATCACCTCTCCTTCCTGCTGTGTTCCTATCTCAGACATAGACTTACCCTCTTCGCTGACAGAAGCAAGACGGGGAGAATCCAGGGATCTGAGGAGCTAGCCATTGGGGAAGCCTTTTATAGGGTGGCAGTGAGGCAATTTAATGGCATCCCAATGAAGCAGGAAGGTTCACAAGGATTGGGGCTGGCACTGCATTGGTGAGATTCTTCCCCAGTATGCCTGGCTCTTCACTCAGAGGCAGGGCATGTCTCTGACATTGAATTTTCCAGAACACCAGATAAATGATTCCTTTGGCCTTCTTCCTGGAACAAGTCCATCTTCTTTTTCTAGAAGTTATGAGAGATGAGATGCCTATGAGATCTATATCTACAAAGCTGTTTCTAGGTCACTCAAGTCTTTAAGGATTTGTCCAAAATGTATTTAGCATCTCAATTTTTCATACACTGTGCCAAAAGCTACACGGTGCATCTTCTCAGTCTAAATAGTATGTTCTTTCTGAGGGCCTCTGTGGTGGCTCCTGGTGGTGGTCTAGGTTGCTGGACCTGGTAGTGTCTGCCTCAGTATGGCAGCAAGGCCCCCCAAAAGCTCCAGGTTAGTTCCATGGACTGGCAGTCTATTCTGTTTATTTGGGAAACTGGATGGGTGCTTAGTGATCTCAGACCTCAGGCTCTATATTTAGGCTGTATATCCTCAGCTTCTTGTGCCCCATGACCTCCCCATCCTCACCTTTCTGGATCTCACTACCCGGGCTAGATTGCCAAGAACTCAGCACAGAGGGAATTCCAGCCAAATGAACACTGTGTGATAACAATAATAGTAGAATCTAACATTTAACTGAATGCTTTGTATGTGCCAAACAGTTCATAAGGGATGTACATTTACAGATGGCCCTGTAACTGAGGCCCCGAAAAAATAAGGAAGTTACCTATTGTCACAAAGCAATTAGGTAGGAAACTGGACTCTCATGCAGGCAGTCTGCCTTCGAAAGCCATGGTCTTTACTGCTACAACATGTTGCCTTTTATTTCTGGACCTAGCACTGTTCCCCAATATCTCCCTTCTTCCCTTTCATCAGAGCAGTAAATACAGCAAGGGAGATGGGAATAATATGTATTAAGTACATCCTGTGAGGTGGGCTATGATAGCCCTGTTTTCTTAAAAGATTTTATTTATTTATTCATGAGAGACACAGAGAGAGGCAGAGACACAGGCAGAGGGAGAAGCAGGCTTCCTGTGGGGACCCTGATGCGGGACTCCATCCCAGGACCCCAGGATCATGCCCTGAGCCAAAGGCAGATGCTCAACCACTGAGCCACCCAGGGGCCCCCGCTAGCCCTATTTTGACAAGGAAATTAACACCCAGAGGCCTATTTCACCAAGATCGTCTCATTGGTAGGCAATGTAGTATCACTTGAAGCCAAGCCTGTCTAGTTTTAGAGCCCATGCTCTTCCTACTGAGCCAAGTCAGGTTGCTCAATGCAGAAAGGTATCTCAGTCCTGAACTGAGCCCTGGTTGCAAACTACCACTCCCTCAGATCAACTGGTGCAGGCCCCACCATGGCCCCACAGCCTCTAAGGAAAAGGTGCATTTGTCCATAATGGATCCCAATTTCTCCAGGACCATAAGCCTTACAGCTCCCAAATTTCCTCAACAAAGAAGACAAATCCCCACTAATCCACAGACACTTCCCCAGGGCAAGCCAGGTCTGGCAGGGTCTGCCCCCGAACAATTTGGAGGAAGCAAGGAGAGAGTCTGCCCTAGGCTTGGAAAATTTCCTACTTTCATCCACCATTCCTGTATTGGGTGGACTTGTAGCACTCCATAACTTCATCTGTGAAACCCACCAGTCCCTGCCCTAAAGGGGATGGTGGAAGTGATTTTAGGCAGTCCCATTACCTGTTCTCCTGCATCCCATCTCAGCTGATACCCAGGCCTGATGTTTTATGATGGGAATGGGGCAAGGATGGTCTTTTATTGGGACCATACATGTCATGGCTTTAGCTCATCACATTTAGTCTCCATAACTGTGTCTTAAATAAATAGGAAAACAAACTTGCCTGAACTCACATAGCTAGAAGTAGTAGAGACAGAATTTGAATCCAGGTTTATTCGTTTGTTTTTTTTTTTTTCTGCCACAACATGGTGTTTTTAGTGTTGAAATACATGATATTTTAGGAACCATACCTTTTAGCCAAACAACAGGCATAGTCATTAAGAAGCCCTATATCTCAGACATAAGATGGGGCAGCCCCAGTTTACAGGGAAGAAAATGACCTGGAAGATCAATCATTTTAAGGCAGTCAATGAAACAAGATAGAGATAGTTCAAAGCACAAATAGAACTCAGCCCTAGTTCTGATTCTGCCATTGCCTCATGGTGTGGCCCCACTCTGCCCTGCTATCTCCAGACTTTTTTTCTTCCACTCTACCATAGTCAGTGAAGCCCCTCCTGGCTATGATAGTCTATGATTGTAGGAGCTTATTCTACAAAGGATATGTATTTATATCCTTGCCCTCCATGGAGTTGTTCCCACTAGACCATAATTTCTGTGCATTAGTAACTGTGGACACATTTACTGTATATCATCTGGCTTTAACACAGGACCTGGGAAACACTAACTAGACCATGAATGAATGATTGAATGAATGAGGGTGCTTTCCACTGATAGTACAGCCTAAACCAACCTCCTTCCTCCACGTGGCCAATGGTCATCTTTCTATTAGCCAGTCTGTGTACCCCACACCATCTGTGAGCTATGATTGGCTCACTCCTGCCTGTGGGTCCAGGCTGTCACTAATGGGTTTAACAGCTTTAGGCAACACTAACATCTCTGGTGAGAGCTACTGTTATCGTGTGCCACCAAAACAGGTGGATGGGTTGTGCCCCACCCATTTTATTGGCTGGGAAGGTGAGGTGTGGAGACTAGATGACTGGTACAAGTGCCAGGGTGAGTCACAGGGTTATCCCCAAAAGGTCCCACTTATCTCTTTGGACACAAGGTCATAGAAACAGAGACCTGTGGATTCATGTAATAATAGTCTGGTAGACTCATAGGGTAATAGGTAGAGAGAATCATAGATTCAGAGAACAACAGAATCACAGATTCAGAATCATGGCATCTCTGAAGTGGAGGGAATTAAAATATGTCATGGTGTTTGGCCCCTGTCTTAATACAAGGAAATATCTGAGTCATCTGGCTTAGGTCTTAGGAAGACCTTCTGGTGTTTAAAAGCTCTCCGCAGTCCTCTGGTTAGCTCATTTTAGGACTTACCATCTGAACACTCAGAAATCACATACTAGATTATCTTAAGTTCCCTTATAGCACCGGCATCGATGAATTCTGACATAAATTACATGTTTGAAGTTGTCCTCTTGAAAGTATGAACCAAACCAAGATTTCAATTCAGTGGTACCCCAGCTCTGACCAGGAGACCAGAGGGGGAAATACTCAATTTGACATGTTGCTCTCTGAAGGCAGGGCTCAGGTCTCCTTACATCCTTGGGGCTGTCCTTGTTCAGGAACTGCAGGCACTCAAGGGAAAAAATCCATGTGCTTCATTTTTTTGTGAAAGAGAAGTAGGAGGAATTGAGAAGCCAGAAACGCGGGAGATGGAGAGCACAGGCCTATTGGTATCCTGTGAGAACTCTCACTTCTGTGTCTGAGAAGACACTACAGAGGTCCCCTCCCTTAGATCCCATGTCTCTGTGTGTCTCTGCTCCAGGCTCATCTCTGAGGTTTTTGCCAGAGATCCTCTGAACAACCCCAGTGACAATATGGGATTCCTTCCAGATTGTCAGGAGAACCATGGAATGGAGGGCAGGCAAGGGCCTTTACAAGTACAGAGCTTAGACCCTCTATACTGGGACTGAGGCCCACAGAGGAGGGAAGAAATTTGCTCAAGACCACACATTCAGGTAGGAACAGACATTAGACAGGAATTTCTGAATTCCATACAGGGCACTTTCCATTACAACACGTGGCCACTGAACAGGCTTGCTAGGGAGTACCCTCACTTGGCCTTATCCTTGCCTCCTTCCCTGTCTCCCACCCCACCAAAACTATCATCACAAGAGGAGCCATTAGAAGTCCTCAGAGGAGTATCATTTATGGAGCAAAGACTGTTTTCACATATGTGGGAGAGGGTCACACAGGTTTCCCACTGTGTGTACATGTAGGTCACTGAAATATGAGAACCCCAACCCCCCTGGATCAGGGTATGGGCTGTGTCTGGGTCAGAAACACAAGGCAAGACAGAACTAGGGCCCTCTTGATTACAGAGGCCAGGAAACATTGGTGCCCATATATCCCTCTTTCTCCTGGAACGACCGACTGGGGCTAGTTTCCTTAAACTTCTGGCAGCCCTTCCCTAACTCATTTATTCTCTTACAACATACACAAGGTCACTAGTCCCTTGGATTTATCTACCACTGTGTAAAGCTGTTTAATTGTATTTGGTCTTAAGGACTAACCCCTGAAATTTTTGGTATGAATTGCCTCATTTTTGCACTTCAGGATGCAAAGGGATACAAGATAGAGATAGATGAAACAAGATAGAGATAGTTCAATACAGGGAAGTTGTGTTTTCCCAATATATTATTGCAGATTGAATCCACTGGATTATATTCCCTCTTGGACTCCTCCTTCTCAACCACTCCATCTGTCTTTCCAGTGCAAATAGCATGTTTTATCATTTTTCTCAATTCCCCACCCCAAGACCTCCTATGAATTTATGCCTTTTCCTGTCAAAGAGTATATATGGTTCTTCTCACAGGTCTGCCAATTCCTGGTTGCGTGATTTTAGGCAATCTGCTGAACTTTCTGAATCTCAATTTCCTCTTCTATAAAATGGAGATATTAATACTCAGATCATGCAGCTCTTCTGCTAAAATCTTTTTTTGTTTGTTTGTTTTTTGTGCTAAAAGCATTCTAATGACTTCTTACTCTGTTTGTGGTGAAAGCCCAAGTCCTTACAATGACTTTCAAAGAGATGCAGACTGGACTCATGGCCCTACACCCTTACATCCCTGACTTCACATCCCACATTGTTCCCACTCTATCCCTTGCCACACTGATCTTCTTGTAATTC